TGTGTGTGTGTGTGTGTGTGTGTGTGTTACTCTCCTCCACCAACCACACACACCTTATTATCTGCATTTACGTTTTAGTCACTTTTTAAATAGGGCACTTCATATGCAGCGTTATAATATAATATGCCATACGATTAAAACTATAATTCGACTGAAAACAGGACAAACATGGAAGCATGAGTAATTTTAGTTCCTATTTCTCCGTTCTGATAGATGGACCAAGTAGCGCTACCTTGACCTTCTCACAGACAAACCCGTCAAGTTTGTGTCAAGGCCCCAGTCTCAGTGTTGTGTCCACTTGTACTGTTGACCCACGTACAGTAAACCCTCAGCCACTCTACAAAATCTCCGTGAACGGTGCACGAATAGACACATCTGTACAGCACACTCTACAGTTACAGGGCGGAGCTCACAACATCAGATTTCTTGTTCAGAACTCGTTATTTCCCGCTGATCTCTTCACTGATGTCACCGAGACGTTCATTGTCAGAGGTTTGTTTTTTATTTTCTTTATAATGCTGCCTCTTCACTAGTGTCACAGAAACATTCTCTGACTAATCTTAATCAAAATTCTTTTAAAAAAACAACTAGATCTTAGTTTTGTATTTTCAGATGTGTCGTATAGTATATAGCAACATTAGACTTATGACTCATAGATAGACTCAATTATGAATATTCTTTCGATTTTGGACAATGTTTTGAGAATTTACAACTGGATTGGCTAGGTGCTCGGTTTATTGCAGTTTCTGACATTGTTCTTGTTGATAGTTTGTCTCTTCTGCTCTCTCTTAGTTTCTGTAAATCGTTTTTTTCTAATATCCCAGTCCCTCCGCCGGGTCCTCCTGAGATCACTGTGAGTCAGCCGTCGGTCCCCAGAACTGGAGAAACCCTGGTGAAGGAAAATGTCACAACCAGAGTGCAGTGTGTGGTCCGAGGGGGATATCCTGCTACAAGTGATGTACGACTGAGCTGTCCTAGTTCTCAGGCCGGCAGTTCAGGTGTGAGTTCTGTGGTCGTAACTAGGTCACAAGGGACACAATGCTCGTGTACGGCCACTCACGAAAGTGGATGTTACGACAAACGGAGTGACATCACCATCAAAGCTGCTTGTGAGTTGTGCATGTTTTCTGATCATCCAAACACCAAACACTATCGAAATGATCGAAACCGTTTGATCCATATCTACTTTTGTTTCCTGTAATATAGATTTTTATAATCGCAGTATGTTTTGAATAGATATTACCATGTTTTCCATAATATGGAATCGTAAACACAAAGTCTTTTGAAATATCGTTGACGGTGCTTAGCTTAGAAAATGGACATTACTTTGATTTCAGCAAAGGGGAAATACCCAGATTTAGGAAAGTGAGACAAATGGGAAGTTTGTATCTCTCTCTCTCTCTCTCTCTCTCTCTCTCTCTCTCTCTCTCTCTCTCTCTGTGTGTGTGTGTGTGTGTGTGTGTGTGTGTGTGTGTGTGTGTGTGTGTGAGGGGGGGGGTAAGGTAATCAGGCATATCTTAGTACATTTTTAAATGCCAGTATTTTCCCTTTGTCATTCATTTCCTTACTTTTTTAGTCTTTTCCTTTTTTCACTATAGTTGGTGTTTACAAATGTTCTATATCCAAACTGTCTCCCTTTTTCTGTGGCCATCCCTATATCCAGATGGCCCAGAAAGTGTCATGTTGGAGAGGAAAAAAGTGAGACCAGAAGAGACCGGAACGTATAACCTGTGTCCGTCAGCTACACCAGATATAACCATGGAATGTTCTGTGGGAGTTGTCTACCCAGCAGCAAGTTTAACCCTCACAATGACGCCAACAAGAACACAAACTGCTGATGCATGTACAGGAAACAACAACAAATGTTCCTACAACTTTGTGCCTACAAGGGGAGGTAATCACGAGTTCCGGTGTGACGCTGTCAACAACGCTTTTGGAGATATGAGAGGAGACAGTCCAACTGTACAGGTCTATGTGCGAGGTGAGAAGACTTTTAGTGGAACAAAATTAAAATAAAGATTGTCTTTAGCAGACTAGTAATACAAAACTAGATGACAAGTAATACACAACTATTAGCTTCCCGTTTTACGCAGTTTCAATGCAAACAGAAAAAACAAAAACGCCGCTTTTGGAGACATGAGAGAAGACAGTCCAAACGTACAGGTTTACGTGCGAGGTGGGAAGGGGTTTTTGATATAAAAAAAATAAAATTATACAATCCTGAAAACTGTAATATAAATGTGGTGCTTTTACACTCAAATTAATGGTTTTATATTTACTTTTCCTTAATAAGCGGATCCTATAAAAAACAACAACACCCAAACTAACAACCCACAACCTTACCAAGAGCAGACCCCAAAAAGAGGGTAAAAACAAAGTCATTGGACGCACCTGCTCCAAGTCATTGAAGGTTTGAGCATTGCGGTGCTTTCAAAGGAAAAAGTGTGCACGTTATCACAAACACGCATGTAAAAAAAAAAAAGAGAACAAAATAAAAACCGATAGGGAAAGAGAACTCCACGAAAATGATTTGCTGTCATGTCTATTTTCATATAAATGTTTCCAGAACTTAACAAGATCCTATGTTTCCAGAAAGACACAATTCAAATCCTTAGAACGTTATCAAACATGATAAAAACACAGTTTTAATCCTTGGGGCATGGGGCTTTTAAAAGTTTTTGAATGAGTTTTACGGTACATGCAACACAAATAGCTGACACAAATGCCGGTAATAAGACGTTTTACTATAAACGGAGTATCAAACACAAGAAAGAGGAGAGATATGGACGATGTAAAGTTTGATGTGAAAGAAGGAGCAATCTGCACCAGAGCACCAGACAATCACCCATTTTGGAACTTTGTTAAAAATGCATGTATCTCTAGTTTCCCTTACCACAGTGCACCTTGTGGCTTGTTAAAACATTGTCCTTCAATCTCTAGGTTAACAACGGCCTTTGATTTACGCAGTCAAGCTGAGGTGAACACCTTTAGTGCTGTGTAGTCGTATGTACTCGATTGGGTTCTCCCAAACTGGTTCGATGCCGTTTGTCTACTGGTTTGAGGACGGAGTTTTAGAAGATATACTAAAGAGTGTTATTTTGCTGTTTAATCTAAAAAAACGGAAAGAATATTACGGCTTTTAAAATTAACATTTGTGTCATGACGTGGTGGAATCAGGCGCTCGTCAATTTTTGGGCTTATGGGGTTATTGGTATCATCTTAAAACCTGTTTATTTGCCTTCCTTAGGCTGAAAGAATTATCTATCTATGTTGAATGGAGGTCAAGGTATTTGCAATTGAATGAGGTGGGAGTGGCCTGGTATGTGAGGTAAAATTAGCGAGGAAATGGCCGCCAAAGTTTGGCAACTTCCAAAGCTATAGTGTTGTTGGAAACTGGAAATTTACATTTTGTGTGTCTTTCATGAACGTTTTTTGGTAGCATCCACGCAGAAATGCGTTTATAAAAGGAAGTAAAAGCTGTTTAGCCAAAAAAAAAATATTTTAAAAAATAGCCAAATGCTCAGAAAAATGCCCGTTTCTTTGATTTCATTGTTTTGAGGAGCGCCTGATTTCACCACGATGCCTCACATTTGTCTTGTCTGCACAAACGTAAAATGACGACTTTGAAGAAACGAAGGGGTTAAGGGCTTAGCTTGCAATAATCTATCCCTGGTTCTGCCAAAAGAAGATAATAATAAATATAATAAGTACCTAAAGCCTTTTTTTAAATACCTGGTGATTAAAAAGAATGAACCAATTTTATGACGCATCGCTTCAGTTCTCGAGTTTCGTTATGGAATAAGTGGCTGGCCATTTGAGATACGATTTATCCCACTTTTGAATACAAAAGAATTAATCGATATTATGACGCATTGCTTCAGTCCTCAATCACCGTTCTGGAATCAGTCAGTAACCACTTGAAAGATGGATCATCGAAATTTTAAATAGCTCTTCTCAAGCGATGGATTTGTCGGAAAGGGTCATTGCTTAGAGACGTGACAAGAGAGTATTAAATACACAAATGAAGAGATACGGATGAAATACATTTGTTTGATAGGACAGAAAAAGCAAACTTCCCTAGGGCACCTGCAAACGTCCCATTTATTTAGTCCTTAGAAAACAGGAGTTTTCTTTTTTTTCGGGGGGGGGGGGGATACCTTTCAAAGGCATTTATATACATGCATGTTTCAAACAATGTATTATTACACAATTATATAGGTAGTACGGTAGTACAGTATCATAATATACAACATTGCAATCTCAAATGCCATTTTCTTGTTAATAACGTTCAATGCCTCCCTTCGTCTGACCAGAACCTCCCAAAGTATCCCCAAAACTGACCCTCAACGGTAAAGATTTCACTGGTGCAACTGCAGATAACAGCGTTGTTTTTGTTGACGGTCAAGAAAACAGTATCGTTTGTCAAGTTGATGGGGGATTCCCGAAGATCTCTCCCTCTGACATCTACGTACAGTGTGACGGTGAGAACGTGACAGATGGAAGGGTTGTGTTCACACCTGAAAGAAACGCCACCTACTGTACTTGTCGTGCACAACATCCTAGTGGATGCTACGACTTGTCCACTGAAGTCCTCGTCATTGTAATACGTGAGTTTTGTTCTCTTTCGTGTGTGTGTGTGTGTTCGCATATGTCTTTGTTTTGTATGTATATGTGTATGTGTGTGTGTGTATGTGTGTGTGTGTGTGTGTGTGCACGCGTGTGTGTGTGTGTGTGTGTATGTGTGTGTGTGTGTGTGTGTATGTGTTTGTGTGTGTGTGTGTTTGTATGTGTCTTTTTTGTGTTTGTAGTTGTATGTGTTTGTGTGTGTCTTTATTTGTTTGTTTGTGTGTGTGTGTGTCTATGTTTGTTTGTGTATGTGTGTGTGAGGGTGAGGCTGTATGTGTATATGTGTGTGTACGCACATGTGTGTGTGTGTGTGTGTGTGTGTGTGTGTGTGTGTGTGTGTGTGTGTGTGTGTGTGTGTGTGTGTGCGCGTGTCTGTGTTTGTGAAACTCACCTATGCATCTATTTACCTGTCCCTCTAGAAAAACAAGTTCTTTTAAACTGTCTATGCCCTTTTTTCTATTTTGGGTAAGTGTTTTACGGCGCTCGCAACTATGTAGGTCTCATGAGCGTACTGTACACATTACACATTTTTAAAAGGTAGAACATTTTTAATTTTCCCCTTGTGGCGGCCAAAACCTACTCTTATCAATTTTGGACCGCCTAAGGATCTTTAACTTGCGCAACTTGCATACGGGACCCCCGAGATTTTTTGCCCTTGTCCTAGAAGGCTTGGTATAGATCTTTCCTACCAGAACATCAAGGGTGTGGTTGAAAGACAGCAGTAAGAAGGAGCTAAGGAGGTGCGGTAGAAAGACTGAGGAGCCCAGACAAGGGAGCAAAGGAGGTGAGGGGATGGGGGGCAGAAAGTGAAGACGGAAGCAGACGATAAAATTGTTAGATAGTAGGAAAGGATGTGAAAGGAGAACATTTTAGATAAGAAAATGTTCCGTCACTATCCAGATTCGAGACCGGGACCTGTGGCAAGAGAAACGAACACTTTAACCTCTAGACCACGAGATCACCGTGTCGTTCCGTCTAACATTCTCTCTCAAATGCAGTTAAAGGGCTCAAACACAGCGGATCCGTCTTTAGGCTGAGCTTTAGGCACCTTTGATGTCGCTTTCTGCTGACGTATGGTCGAAAAGGCGAAAGGTGCACTCTAAATGCCTTTTGACTCTCAGAGTTATCCCAGTTTTGTCTCTTTTCGGTTTTGGATTAGGTACTTTTGGCTTTCTGGTTTGTTTTGTCGCACACATTAAAAGTTTGCCGATTCTTATTTTACCGTGACACAAAAATTTCATTAGGCTCACACCTTTCATCGTGATAGAAATTGATTATTGCTGTTCAAAAATACCCTGCTTTATATGAAAAAAAAATAGAATTGCATTCCAGTATAAGTTATATTCTTGTATAAATTTTACTGCCAATACACATTTTGTTGCATGAAGATTTGCTCAAAGCTAATTTGGGGTTGTTGATTTCCGAAATGGTTTTAGTTGTTTGTTTGTGTATCGGTTAAGTTTTTGCTCTCTGAAGATGTATTTTTATGTCAATATTACAAAGTTCAGGAGTTTTCAAATATTTGGCCTATACTTTGATTTAAAACTTCTCTTTCACGTATCAGAATAACGTATTGAGTCTTTAGAAGTGTGAATATTCGATCATCCCCAATAAAAGTTGCATTATGCCAAATCCTTCTATGCTATAAATGTAATTAAACAATACTAGCTTAGACTTCTGCATGTTCCCTACAAAACTCTATCACTATCCATCTTGACCTTCAGTATTTATAAGAGAATGCCAAACAATCTTGCACAGACCAGACTATTGGTTTGCCTTTAAAGACCACGTTTTGTCTTAATAACTTTGTTTGAAGATTTTTTACAGATAGTATGCTTAGGGATGAAAGTCAGAATTTTCACACAAATCGACTTTAAATCCCAGATGTTTTTGTCATCCAGAATTGAATGGTTTATTACAACTTTTGGTTTCAAGACCGTAAGAAAATAATATAATATTTAAAAATGATGCTAGGATAGTTTTACCATAGAAGGAAAATGAACCACTACAATTAGTACATTGCAGCATACAAGGACTTTGTCTTCTATCACGAAATACCAGGTTTGTTATATGTATTGGGTGTACCTTAGTTCGACCCGAATGAGTGGAGACTTTTCCTAAACTATTCAAAAATAAGTCTGAAGTGTGCGCTACGCAGTAACAGAAATTCGTTTGGGTTCGTTCGTTTTGGCAACTCAGTTCTGTTTAAAAAGAATACAGGCACAAAAAAACAGTGCTGGATTGACTTGCATACAGATACCACATCTAAAAGCTTTTCGTTGATCTGAAAATGGCCAACTTCTTACCTGACCAAAAGGTTGACTATACAACATATTCTAGTCCTCTTTGTCAGTTTGATAGTGAAAGGAAAAACTATGGGAAGAAAATATTTTATCAATGAGGACAGCTGTAACAGTTGGAGAGAATAATATCATCAATGAACCACGTCTTTAAGGGAACAATCCACTTTTCTGAACTCCATGATATCAACTTAGGCTTGATGAAGCAATCCAAGAAAACCTTGGACTATGATAGAGCCTGTTTAAAGATTAATATTATCATGTGTACAGTGTTTCTTAATCTCAGTTAAAAGAAAATACGAGTGGTGTTCTCCGGGTATCCCCAATCAGAACACTGCTCACAGACTCGATACGTGGCATAATGTAAAGATAGGACTCTGAGAAACCTTTTTTATTTAGTGAAGCCTTTTTGGGAGATAGCAAATCAGAAACTCCCAAGAGCATGGCCAATACTTTGTTATAATACTTCCTTCTTTTTGGGGCTGCAAAACGAGCAACAAGATTTATTCCATTTATTACTGATTTAGATGATTTTCCTTAAAACGTTGATTATGTTAGTGACTAGCAAGGCGAAAGATTTCATTAAAAATCTACGATTATTGAGGAGAGGTATCAAGGTTGATGTGACGCCAACACGGTGGTACTGAAGTCGTCCATCTCTCGGGTAATCAGCAGTTGAAATAGAGCCCAGATTTTCACCTCACCATTCAGTGAAATTCCCTCTGGATTTGTACGCCAAAACTATGCAACACAGACCGACAAAAGACTGATCGGTTGGGTGTGTCACCTGCGACATTTTAGTGGTTCCGTATGGTCAGTCACCAACCATAGGCCCAGTCAGAGCTAAAAATTATAATTCTAGTTTTTTAAAGTTCCCTTTAAAAGTGCATTGTCTTGGTTATAATATTCTTTATCAGCACCTCAAGAGTACCGAGCTCTTCGCGTAAACAAACAGTTTATGATTTTTGACAAAACATGTATTACTTTTTTCTCTTTGTTTTTCTGGGGTTTTTTAAATTAAAAAAAAAAAAATCATTCATAGTTTGATATTCCTGCCTTGGGTTCTTTAACCTATACACTGTTCACGTTTGATGGAAACGGATAGACCGATTTGCCTCCACCCGGCAAAAAGTAAACAAGACAAACCAAAACAAAACACAATTGAGTCGTTTCTGCTCAGTGAACACTCAGTCTTAATCATGTTTCAAGTCTTAGTATGAGTTCTATGGCACTTGCAGCACAAAAAACCCATAAAAGTGCCAAAGACTAAGCATACACAGAAAATGAGGAGAAATAAGAACAACAGATGTTTGATTAGAAAGAAAGAGTAGACCACATCAATCCCCCCCATGAAAAAAAACAACCCTCCCACATTTATTCCTTTTTCTTGTTTGCTTTTGTGGCCTACGTAGTCCAGAACAAGACGCAATCAGATCAAAGCGACGATCAGATGACTATACCAGTTGCAGTAGGGGCAGCCTGTGCAGCTTTTGTCCTTTGTTGTATCATCACAGGGGCTGTGTACTGCTATTTAAAGAGGAAAGGTAAGACTTTATAATGTTGGTATTTTTACTCCCCCGTCAACACAGTTTAGGGGTCGGGCTTCCGATCCAACCTGTCAGGGCCAAACCAGGCTGAGAGGTATACAACAGCCCAGCAGGAAGGCGAGACACTCGATAACAATTTTCTCTCTACTCGAGAATTAAACTGGGGTTTCCTGCTGCACTAGAGATGACGGATCAAATATGTTAACATTGATTGAAAATATATGGCAGTAGAATTCATTTAAACAACGTTCCTAGGTGCTCTTTTGTATTAATTTTAACTGTGGTATCATGCTCAGTGTTAAAACAATCAGGAAACGACAAATGCAGTTTTTAGAACACCTGAATAGACATAAGGGTCTTGAACATCTAGCTCCCACTGACAAAATTGAGGGCGAGGGAGGCAAGGGTAGGCCCAGAACAACATACTTAGGGACCCTAAACAAATGGGTAACATGGAAAGATCAGGGAAACGTAGCTTTTTTTAGAGCATCCGAGCAAAGGAATAAATGGAAAACCATGATCGCCGTTGCCTGTCGCAGATCTGGCACTGGATGATGATGATGATGATCATGGACAAATCAGAAATTAAAAAAAAAATTTTTTTTAATGACCCCAATCTCAACGAGTTATACAAAATGGAACAAAATTGAATGACAAAAACTGTAAAATGTAGATGTGGTAGAAATCGAACATTTGAACAAAAAAAGGTCACCAAAAGATTTATTATTCAAATCTACTTTTAGAAAAGGAGGAATAAGTCTCTATATATTATATTATATTTGTGAATGTTCGTCACTTTGGCTGCCTAAAATTTCCGAACCACTTAACTTTCGAATTTGACAAAATTAATGATGGTTCAGAATCATTCAAAGGGTGCACAGCTTCTTTGAGGAACCTGAAGTCACTGTAGTTTAATTTTCAGTTTTTCATTAGTTTCGTTTAGATCTAAGCTTGAGAAAGTGCGTCTTCTACGACGCCATTGTAAACAAGTGAGACTTTCGTTCACTAGCAGTGCGCATTGGTCCCACACCTTTGAAATTATAGAGTGCACAACCACGAAAGCGGAATAAAGAATGAATCTATACATCTATTATATATTTGGTAACTTGGAAACACATTTGTCACTTTTCTCTCAAGATTCATTGCTCAATTCCAGTAGAGTGTAAATGTAGTAGGCAAATGACTTTCAGTTGATGTTAATGCACCGATCATTCCTTTCATCGAAAGCGATATGGAATACGTCTTCAGAAGTATTATACATACACACACACACACACACACACACACACACACACACACACACACACACACACACACACACACACACGCACACATACACACACACACACACACACACTCATATATATATATATATATATATATATATATATATATATATATATATATATATATATATATATATATATGAGACTTATACCTTCTCTTCTTAAAACAGATGTGAATGTGTGTGTGTGTGTGGGGGGGGGGGGGTGCGAGTGGGGGTTGAGGTGTGCGTGAGGGAAAACTATCATGATTATAATAAAGTAATTACGTGTGCAGGTGTCTATGGCTGAAATAGAAACAGTAGACAGAATAATGTTCAGCTTGATATTTATTCCACATATATTCAGTTCGAACACAGCGTGAGATTGCTTTAAGAAAAACGAAATTTAAATTAGTGACGAGGAAATCCCCCACTTGTTGAGCCGAACTATAGTACGATCAAAAATAACAATATTTCCCAAACTATCAAACGTAGACTCTCCAGCTTTTGCACACTGACATGCATAATGAATTGTACCTTTCTGTCCTGTACGGCAGACTTTGACTTGTGCTCTGTAAATTTCACTGTAACTCTTTTGCCTTCCCTAGGCTGCTTCCAAAGGCTGGCTAAACATAAAGAAGAACAGTAAGTACTCATTAGTCAAAGTGTTTTGGTGGGCTTATTTTTCTTCTTTTATTTTAATTTTACATATTATAGATGTTTTACGCCTCCATACCCGCCATTGTCAACCCCGGCTATGAAAACAACAACAACAACAACAACAACAACAACAACAACAACAACAACAACAACAACAACAACAACAACAACAACGTAGGTGTTTTTATTTCCTCAATCGACACCATTCAGATAATTTAGGGGGCGGGTTTAGACCAGCCCTAGCCGAGAGGGATGCACCATCTCAGGCAAGAGGCCGAGATATTTGAAAAACATTTCTCCTCTCCCAGCCCACCCTGGCTGTGTGGTACACCCTTGTCTCCCTTGAACTATTCTGAAACGTCAAGACCGTATCCTTCTCTATGTGGACCGTGACGTTTCTTTTCTTTCAATGTCCTTTTTTAATTTCTACACTATTCGGTTTTGTTTTTGTTTGAATAAGTTTAGTATTTGTTAAAATCTAATCTGTTTGTGCGTCCTGGTCAGTGGTATTTTTTATGAAGACTGTGAAGAATTTAAATCTGTTTATGATTGGAGTACCTGAAAGGTTAAAATCATTCTAACAGTGTCAATAGGACTGGCATCTTTAACGTGTAGAAGTTACGCACTTTGTTGTTACCCGCAGGAGACGCGAGTTCGAATTTCGAGTTGGGAGAATTTCTATCTACATCTTGGCTTGTGTTGGCCTTGACAGTTACGAACAAGTCCCGCCCCTTAGATAATTTGAAGTGTGTTGATGGGGGTATTAAAAAAATACCAATATTTTAAAAATAAAATGTAAATAGAAAGATGTTTTGTAGAAAATAAATCCTATATCTATAGCTTTATTCCTCCTTAAACGGCTTTTCATTAAGTTTGATACAGTGAACTATTCCAGATTTCGGAAAAGCATATCCTAGATGAAAATGATTAATGAAGAATTATTGAAAATTTGCACCAGAACCCAGACGGTGCTATGAGAATCAACAATTTAATATAAAACGAAATAGGCGTTAGAAACCATGAGTGTCTGCCATGTATAGTTTAGGCTCTTTGCTGCAGCACTCAGGAGACAGGAGTTCAATTGCCAAATGGGGAAAATTTTCTTATCGAGTATATCGATCTTTCTGGTAGGATGTATCCCTCTTAGCTTGGAGAAGTTCGGCAAGGCTGGTAATTTGGCTGTATGCGTATGTAATAATGCAATCTTTTCTTGAAGGCTTATTTGCTTTCATTCTTTTTTCTTCCTTTTAAGTGTGTGGGTTTGGCGTCTCTTTCCATACGGTTTGGTTATTCGAAAGAAGGGGCCTCCCAATTTAACGTTTATCGCCTACACGATTGAGCGAAACAGATTGAGAGCCTCAAAAACCCAACAAACAACCAATGCTTAGGAACGACAAATTGTTGACTTGAACCAGGGGCATTTACTCCATAGTTAAGCATGATGCTAACTAAGCTAACGGAGCACTCGTAGTTCTTTTATCTAGAATGTTGAAGACTGTGGGGGTATGGTAAGGATTGTATTCTTGAATATGCTTCACGACATGGCAAAATCATGCGTAAATCTGAAAGCTTGTTCTTTTGATTTGCTTTTATGTAAAAAGACACCATTCTATTCAAAATAATAGTAGTGATACTTGCAGTTGAAGGAGATGGGGGTCGCCTGGTGTCAGAGGTAAAATTAGCGAAAGAATAGCTTCCAGAGTTTGATGCCTTTCAAAGCTGCGGTGTATTTGGGAAACTGCAAAGTTTCATTTGTTTTGTCATTTTGATCATCCTTTCTTTGGTAAAATTCAAGCAGGAATATGTTATTAAGTGGACATAAGGTGATTAGCTCAAAAGAGACAATTCGATGAAAATTACCTAAAGGGTGGAAAATGTCAGTTTCCTCGATTTTATAATTTAGACTAGCGCCTGCTTTCACCACGACCCCACTCATATAATGTTATTATTATTTCTCTCTGCTCAATACAATGTTTATTCTTAATTTTTTTTTGGTTCCCATCAGGTCTGGGATGACACGGGATAACAATGGTAAGACTGAACAGATATAAATGTGAATTTTCTTTTTTTAGACAGTCATGAGTACTGATGAAAAACGTACGTTACGTATATCGACCACCCCTCCCCCTCACACAAACACATACACACACAAACACACACACACACACACACACACACACACACACACACAAACGCAGACACATAGACACACAGAGGGAAGGACTAACACACACACATACACAGACACACACTTGGACAAATTAACGTGTATAGGCTGACACAAGGATATATAAACAGACACATAAAGACACAATAAATACTAGGACACTCACTCTAACCCTCACGCATATACACACACATACATACACACTAAAAGAAACAAACTCACATAGACAAACACACATAAACGTACATACACATGATTGCACACCCTCTTCACCAAGTCCCTCAGAAATGTCATTTACAAAACAAACAGTTAAGCTACACACAGAAACTGCCCGAGTTTCTATTTATCAGAAAGAAATAACATTAACTGTAAGTTTAACGCTGCTACCAACACTACGGTCATTTAAGAGGCAGGCATTCTAGTTTAACGTTCATTTCTGAAAGGACCAGGCCAAACAGAAATTAGTGTAAAGTGCAGTTCTCAAGGACACCACGACGGACCCAGCTGAAGCTCCAACCCCCGTGCCTGCAATGTCACGATTACGGGTGGTCCGGCAGCCTAACCGATAGACACCACTAATTAAAAGAACGAGAAAAACTCAAGAGGAGGGATGTTATAAATAAAATTTGGCTTTGTTCCTGACTGTGGTACCCAGAATGATATATCGCATGTATATTCTAACAGTGAAAATGGAAATACATGTGTCAAGACTTGTGCTATTGGTCACCCAAAGCCCTATGAGTACGGGGCAGATAGTCCTCCTTATATCGGAGGTCCAACCTCTTAAATAACCCCACGGTCATAAAAGTTGCGGTAAACATTTAATATAATTTCACAATTTCCTTTCTTGTGTCTCCATCCACAGGCCATCAAGAAGAGAATCCGTACGTCGACGTGGATTCGGTCCACATATCGTTACAGGACATCCACACCCCGGTCCTGATTGGAAGAACCATGGCGGAAATCATTACACCTGACGTCACACAGACAGACGGTGACGGGAGACGTTACAACAACGTACCGGTGAAGTCACCGGTGCCAACCGTTGGAGAGAAAGGTAAAGGTCGAAGCATTGTACTTTGGATAACTTGTTTGTGACAGTTGCAAAATATGTCCCTATGTCAAAGTTAGTTATAAAAATATACAAAGCAGCAACGACAACAACAAAAAACACTACTGCCACTACCACCACCACCACCACAACTACTTCCACAACAACAACAATAACGATAACAACAATAAATACTAATAATATAAAGTTCTGGCTGTCGGCATAAAATTCACGGAGTAAAACATCACAAACAAACCGTTAACAGTTTAACTTTCTACTCTTTTCTCGGAAAGGTGAAAATGTTTGGTGCAAAAAAAAATTGGTAGGGGGGTGTCCTTTTTTCATTGCTTATTTCAGTTTTACAGAAAAGGAAATGGAAAAGGAAATGAAATAAGGCCAGATTTTAAGAGGAATTTTCATTTACGTATGCTTTTACTAGAAAGAATTTAAAGGTTCCCACGGTCTCCCCGCCTCTCTCTCTCTCTCTCTCTCTCTCTCTCTCTCTCTCTCTCTCTCTCTCTCTGTCCACCCTTCTCTCTCTCTCTCTC